CTTTACTTCCCTCCTTCTTAAGAACAGAAAATGAAAAAATTTCAAGACGTAACTGGTGCTTAGGATCTATTCCTTGGCTTGATTTGTGAGTTCAATACCTGAAATACAGAAGTCTTGAAACCCACAAGGAAAACTCTGGTTACTGAGAAAAAGATTCAAGTCGAGAACAAATAGTTGCAAAATATCCCAGAACTGTCAATGAGCCACTCTTCCAGACTATGGCCCAACTGTCCTCTGCCACAGATGATCCTGTTGAAGGGGAAAAACTATTCTAAAAATACTCTGTGTCTTCCTGGGTCACAGCTTAGGTTACTCAGGGATGGTGGCTTCACAGAAGGGGAAGAAAACTGGTTACTTAGACAGAGGATCTGTAACTCCAAACCCCACAGCTCCTACCAGGTGCAGAGAGAAGGTAAACCACTGCATGATCTTGAGGCATCCCATTCTCTTACAACAACAGCATAGACAGCTGCTATGCTGGGCTTCCATTTACTCCCCTACTGCTAGAGCTGGTTGAAAATTGGAATTTCTGTCCCGTAGGAAATTTGGATATTCTGACATCTGTTTTTTGCCCTGACTTGGGACACACACAAAAATGAAATATCAAAAATGTTTTCATGGAATGGAAATTTCAGAAAAAATTGTTTTGGAAATGTTGAAACATTTCATTTTGACATTTGCACTTAAAACAAAAGGTTTCAGCATTCCTGAATTGAAATGTTTCATTTTGGCTCAATTCCACATTGAGCCGGTGTGGGGTTTCATGGAATTTGTAGGTCAGGAACCTTACATAGCATTCTCTTCTGTAGGCCAGCCAAAGTGTCCAAGGCTGCACCAGGCTCACATGATTCTCATGGTGCAATGTGCAGTGGTTTGCCCCGAGGTTCAACAGGCTGAAGTGTTTCAATATGAGTCAACCTGACCCAGAACGAGCTATTTTGATCCCATTTTCCCAACAAAAAATTGAAAAATTTCAACAAAATTGAAATTTGCCTTTGAAAAATTTTGGATGTCCAGAAACTATATTTTCCCACAGATAAAACATTTTGGTGGAAAATTTCCAGCTATCTCTACCGATTACAGCTTCCCATTGTGATCCCTTCTTGGGGAGCGAAGGCCAAGAGCGGGGATCAGGTGAGATCAGTACTAACTAATATCTGTTATAACATGCCCGATACTCCCTCTCACCTTCTCCCAGCTAGTCCCCATTGTTATTATGCCTTAGGGCATGTCTACACTGCAATGTAAGCCCACGCCTAGTAGAAGTTGAGTTAGCAGACCCTGGGTTTGTTAACCTAGGGCTTGAGCATCTACCCTCGTTTGTAACCCCAGGTTAGGAATTGGTGAACTGGGGATCCCAACCCTGGGGTGCCTGCACCTATAGTGCGTTATGCAGGCCCAAGTCCAACCCCCATATCCCAGGCTTCCTAGGAGCCTCCCAAAATGTGGCCACTCTAGCCCTTTGGTCATGGTGCAGTGTGGGAAAACTTACCTGTCCATCAAACGTACCTGTTCACAGAGCAAAGAAAATCAGCCCATGGAATTGTAGAATACTTTTGGTAGACTCCAAGACGACAAGTCTAGAGAAGCTATGTCTACGCTACAAAGCAATACTCTTGAACCTTGGGTCTTAGCTTGGCTCAGGCTCAGACCCTCCACCGACATGGGGTCATGGGACCCTGGGTCAGCACAATTTGTGCGTAGACAGAAGTGGGGGTTTGGCTTGAGCCTGAGTTTGAATCCTGGACTTACATAGCAGCCTCGACAGACCCTGCAATGTATATATCCATTTTAAAAATGAGGACATGACAGATGGAAAGGTTAAGTGACACACTGAAGTCACAGAGACAGCTGCTGTCAGGGGCAGGGGAGTGAAAGGGCAGAGGGACAGAAAGAGGAGTGAGGGGAGATACTGAGACTTAGGGGGAGTGGAGCTGAGTCCAGACTAGGAAGGAGAGTTCCTGGAGTTCCTACCTGCTCCTGGGCCCATTCCAGCCCCTCTGGCTTCCTGCTCACTGTTCCTGGCCCAATTCTGGGCACTGCAGGAACCACTCCAGACCCTCTGTGTCCCGCTCTTGCCTCCACCTTCCTTCAGTGATGCACAAATTTACATGAGGATGAGTCCCCACAATATTATCATTGTAGGAGCACTAGCCCCTATGTCCTTTTTAACTCCTGGGTCTGCCACCACTGGCTGGTGTCAGGTCAGGATTAAAGCTCATGAATTCTTGGACCCTTCTCCTGTACTCAGACAACTAGACCTTGCCTCTAACAATGAATTACAAGTCACCCAGCTAAGATGTTGGCTATATCCCTTGGAAGAACGGTAAAAAATCACGTGGACAGTTGATGAATTAAAGATATTTGGAACTAGGGCTAGATTTGTTTTGTTTCATGTCACAATGTGCTTCATGTTATGGAGGCACCCTAGCAGGATTCTATAATTAAAACTGCATTGCATTTTCCTTTGAAGTGGGGATTAAATCTTCTAAATAAACAAGAATTCTAGTGAACAGAGAAAATAAACCAAAAGCTGTCTGGCCTCAATTATACTAAGGTCATAGGCACTAATGACATTGGGCTCAGTCCTCAAGTGTGTTGAATTCACGCTCGGCATAGCTGACAGAAATGGGGGAGGCAAAAATTACTCTGAGTTACTTTTATGCCTCCTCCAATCCTGAACTTGGAGTGGAGAGACTGAATTGGCCCATGACATATATTACAGCAACCACAGGACTGCTCTAATTTACGCTCATTGAAACAATTCCCTAGGGGGCCATTCCACTCGGTAGGGATTGGCAGAGCACATCACTCTCCAGTCCAACCCCCTCCCTGTTACCAGCCAGCTATGAGGTGCCCCTGGTCCCTTGAGTATTCTTAGTTGTGCCATTAGAGAAGCTCCTAGGTCACTTTCCACCCCTCCAGCAATACAAAGCAACTTAATGGAGTCTGGGATCAGTCACATTATGTTTTTGTTTTGTTTTGTTTTTTTTGTCTAAAAGGCTATATTGAATCTTATATTGCATAAAAATACAAAAATAAAACAAACCAAAAATTCACCCATAATGTACACTACCAATGGAACATAAGAAAATGGAATACAGATCAATCTTGAATAATATAAAGAGGATATTTATGAGGGGAGATATTCAGCTTCAGGATTCCAAATGCTGAGGAATAATTTCAACTTGTCATGTTCGAGAACACAGTATATATCAAAAGTATCAGATGTTCTGCATTTTAAATTAAAAAATGGACTTGAGTTTGGAATCTAGCACAGTTCAAAACCTGAAGTAGAAGTAAATAGATTCAGGTGCTACACCTGCCTCAAGACTTCTGGTGCTCTTACAGTCACATTTTCCCATTATTTTATGCCTCTTTCTCCTGTAATGTTATGTGAAACACCTTCCCAAGTAAAGGGAAAACTGACTGGCCCTGGGGAAAACAGTGAAACTGACTATTCACAAAGTGCTGTCAAACGCACAAAGCAGACAAGGTGCAGAGAAGTAGGAAACATTTTTTTTAAATCATCTCTGTGTATTAAAGAAAATAATTATAGTGCTTTTAAATGTCACATGTAAAATTAAGTTTTAAAAACATTATACAGAGAAGTGTGGTTTTTAACTTGATACTGTCTTTGCAAAACATTGCACTCTAGCTAGTCCACTGAGGTGTGATTAAGTGGTATTTCAATTGCTGTAAAATTATTATTATTTTATAAATATGTTCCAATTCTGAGTGCAGGAATGACAACACTTTCCAAAGAAGCTTCGTACTGTCAAAACTTATCAACTGGACACAACCCTTTAATTTAATTGAAAATTAAATAAATAAATCAAGGGCTTTATTAATGCTTCAAATATGTACGTCTCTCTTTTTTGGAGAGGGAAAGTGGATAAATTTGTGTATTTGTCTCTTAATGAATAGACTAATGGCACTCTCCTGAATAAGTAACTAATTGCTTACTGCAGTATAGAGGTTCAGTAGAGTAGATGATTCACTGTGGATGCGAGGTTTTTAGTAATTGACAGTATTTTATAACTGTTTATTCTCTTTGCATTGAAGTCGTTTCAGATCCAGAAGTTGGGATGAACACCATGGGTAACAGAAAAGATGTAGAAGTAAATGAAATTAGTGACGTGGGCGTTCTAGCTTTTTACATTTCTGTCATTACTATTTACAATACTACAATGGATTGACTCTCCACTATTAGCACGGTGCTGCAAGACCTGAGCAATGCAGGGTTTTGAATTCTACAGCACACTGATTTTTCAAGGTTATTCCTCAGAATAAGTTCTGCAGAGTAGACTGTTGTCATGTCATGCCAGGGATCTTTACCATTTCCCCCACTATTTGAAAAATGATATACTGCAGGTCAAAAAAACTGTAACTTCTGCTTCACTTCAGAAAGTACAATTTAGGTGTTGGACTAATTTGATAGTTTTCAGAGTAACAGCCGTGTTAGTCCGTATTCGCAAAAAGAAAAGGAGTACTTGTGGCACCTTAGAGACTAACCAATTTATTTGAGCATAAGCTTTCATGAGCTACAAGCTTATGCTCAAATAAATTGGTTAGTCTCTAAGGTGCCACAAGTACTCCTTTTCTTATTTGATAGTGAACACTAAGAAAAATATTTGAAACCTGAAAAGTCAATATAGTCCATTGAGGCTCATTTTATTCCATATATACTTTCCCCAGAATATCATCAAATTGTTACCAGAAAGAGTAATATTATCCAGTTGTCTAATGCCACTTCTGGGTATTATGGTGATAAATATCTAAATGTTGGAGAACTAGCTTTCTCTCACAGCACTATTTCAGGGGGAGAAAAAAATAACTTAAATGCTGGTGGGCTGGATAGTGAGAGAAATTCAACCCTAAATGAAAAATATGACAATACTGATATGTACAGATAAAACAGTCTCTCAAAATTTCCTGGAGATAAATTTCCAATCCCAAGACTTTCAGAAAATAACCTTTCCTTTGATACATTATTTCAGGACCAATGCAGGAGACGATATATGACTTCTGGAGAATGGTGTGGCATGAGAACACAGCCAGCATAGTCATGGTAACAAATCTAGTGGAAGTAGGAAGGGTAAGTAATTTTTGTACTTAAAATGATGAAAGACTTTTGAGATGTTTACTTTTGGATATTAAATAACAGACCCCCAAGATACTTGTACACAGACTATAGCACATAAAATATTTACCACTTCTTCTACTAAAAGGTGTATCATTAATTATTTTTTAAATGGCTTGAAGGCTTGGCTTTGATAATATTTGATAACATTTGGCCAACAGAGGCAAAGTAGTATAACTTTATGTGCATCTAATTATTAATAATTACACTAAGCATCAAGGAAACCGTTCTCAGGCAACTTACATGGTCTTCTTTCAGATTAATTCTAGAACTGATTGTTCAAACAAGAGGTTAAACTTTGAGACTGCACATGTTGCACAGAACTGTGCTGTGATACGTTAGTTAAAATCCATTGTGCTTTTATTCCCACCCCTGTAAAAAATGGCACACCTACTTAACCAGGAATTTAATCAAATTGCATGTCCAGGTCATAGTCCTGTGCTAATTTGAGCTTCTAGGAGTGGCTCAGCACAGATATGACTTAAATTTGCTTGGATGTGGGAGTAATAAGAAGACGCTGTTTTACCCTGTGCTCTGTAAATGGAACAATTAGCACTGAAATCAGAAAATAGAGTCAGTGTGCTGACCAGGAGGTTTTATTCAGGAATTGATGTATAAAGAAAAAAGTGGAGTTAGCCGCTTGATACTTTACCTTTTTCCATACAGATTGCCTCTGAAGAAGGTTTCCTGGTAGGGTGGCCAGGTGGCCGGTTTTCAACCGGAAAGTTCGATCAAATAGGGGACCTGACAGTGTTCAGTCAAAATCTGCTGACCAGACACCCAAAGTCCAGTTACTGCAGGTGGGAGAGATGGGGAGGCACCAGGTCATTACCTGTGCCAGCCTCTACTCAGACGTGGCTGCCTCCTACCTGTGTTGAGCAGCTGCAGCTCACAGCTATGGCTCAGGGGAAGAGGCGGGATGGGGGAAGTTCCTACACTCCTGCTGGAGTTTTTAAATATTACAATGTTGGCAACCCTATCTCCTGGTCATGTCTTTGTTGCTAATATGGTTTTCAGCAGGTATTCAAAAGAGGCCACTCTCTTTTTAAAACACGCCAATAATGGACCCTTTTATTTTACTACTGGGCCTCTGCACTAGCATCAAATCTGAGCTAGGATTTTCTAAGGGAAATTCAGTAAGAGTAGGGCACCTAACTCCCCTATGTCTCATTGAAAATCCTAGCTGAAATCAGCAGAAACATTGGCTACTCTAAGTCCAGCATTTTCATTAACTGCTGAAGTATAGGGAAACAGTTCATATATTCTGATGTGAGCCAAAATGGTTTTGATACATGTTTTTAATTTCTTGGTAATGGGGTGGTTGACATGTTCTGCTGAAAAATGTTTGTATTATAGGGAGATCCATTTTTAGGTATTATGCATCAGATTGTCAGATCTAGGCTTCTTGTTTACATTCTCAGTTATTGTACCTGTATTTTGAGTCTATGGTTAATTGTTAGTTTAAATCCTACTGTTTAGACACCTCGGTGCCTCAGTCTGCCCACAGATCAAGTACCAGTACTGTACTTAGACATCAAAATGATAGGATTTGTGACTGCAATTAACACCAGCTACAAAAACACAGGTACCACTAATTGCAGAGGCAAAAAGAAAGACTAGGTTGAGGCCACTTTAAAAATCCAGTCCCATGAATCAAATATAGGCTTAAACAATGTGACAGCCACACTTACATTCAAACCAAAATGAAAGAAATATATTTGTAATAATAGTACACTCTTAAGTATACTTAATTTGTTAGAGCTTTATCTAGAAATACCTCAAGAAGGGATATTTTAAGGAAATAGTCCTTCCCCCCACCTTAGGGCTTGCCTACATAAGGATACCCAGAAAATTAATCCGAATTAACTAAAACTGTGAATTTGAAGTAGATTAAACTGCATTAAATCCCTGTATGTACACAGTTAATTCAGAAGTAAAATGGCCTTAATTTGGTTTAGTTTAATTCACGTTGGAAGTCAATTAAACTAAACTGAATTAAGGCCCCTTCATTTCTGAACAAGGGTTTTCACAGGGGGGATTAATGCAGTTTAACTAACCCACTTCAAACTCACACCTTTAGTTAATTTGTATTCACTTTCCTGTATGACACCATGTAGACAAGCCGTAAGAGGCAAAAACATTTTATCAGATGAAACAGTATATTGTTATCTTAGAATCAACGTTCTGAAGCATAAACTCAAGTGGACTATCAGGTTTCACCCAGAGGAGAGATTGAAGATCTTGGTCATAATCCTTCAGCCCTCAACAACAGTCCTTAACACATCCCCTCAGCAAGTTCTACTGTCAGGGGCCCTATTGTGTTTCTGCACAGGTCAAAGCACAAATCCCAAAGGCAGGCAGGCTGCAGTGCCACCATGCATCCTACATCATGTGAATCCCACAGGGGTACAACTGTCCAGCTGGGGGACCAGTTGCGGCTTGCAGAGATATATATCCACTCATTAAGGGAGCAGTAATATTATTTTTAAAAAAGGAATTAAAACTGTATTTTAAGAACAGTGAAATTAGGACACACAAAGAAATGTAGTTAATCACCCCTAGGCTTTGGCCTATAAGTGAGCACATACCCCATTCCCAAAATGGGGCTGTCATCACCAAGGAGTTAAATTACAAACATGTCATCTGTCTTTCAACACCTAGCACAAAGGGCTGTGCTACCTTGATTAGTAATGATTTTAATGGGGCTCTGTCCTTGAATTGTGGTCATCGTTTTCTGTTTTGAGAATAGGTCAGATTCCTGCAGGGCAAACCCAGTAACCTTTCCTGACTTCAAAGTTTTACTTTTTTGTTGCAGTTGCTAGTATTAGATTTACAGACTTGTTTACAGACCACTTGTCCTATTTAAGTTGAAAAGCAAAGGAAAGTACCCTATTTTTAAGGAAAGAAGAAAGACGTATTTAACATGTTTGTCACATAATGTGCGTCCTTCATGAATTAGTCATTAAGAGGGTGTATGTGTATTTGTTTACCAAGACTGGCTGGATAGTCATTAAATCAGTACTAGGCACTTGCTTTTTGCCCTGGAGCATTATGCATCAGGGCTGTTTTAATTGCTGGTGGAGGAGCCACCATGAGGCTTTCCCTAATGAAAGCACCTGCTGCAGATGACTCATTCTTTGCATTCCCCTCCAGCAGGGTCTGGGTACATCTGCCAATACCTGTCATTATCTGAGACACACTTGTCAAAACCGTGCATCCCTTTAAGCTCCTGTGTGTTCCAGCAAGGGACCCTTGTCAGTTTTTCTGGCACCTGCAGACTACTGTGCACCTGGTATTTAAATGGCACAAAAATGTGTTTTGATTGTTTTCCCTCTTTAATGAACCTACTTAAGGGACATTTAGCTCTTTATCTAGTAGCCTGTTACCCAGTCATTCACATTTGCATTGTTTGTGTGGAGACTCAAAACTCACTTGTGTTGTTATATCAATCCATCTGCCAGAAGTCTTATAACAAACTCTGCAGGGCTCCCAAAGGAGACTTTTGCACTTGTAAGTTAAGCTAATGATTTCTAAACATATTTAATCAGTTTTATGAAGACCTCATTAGAATGTAACTGTTTATTAAAAATCTAAATGAGATCTCACAGTCATTTAGGAAAATCATTGTTGAGTTGCCATGAATAGTTCTCTGATAACAGGTGATGAAGTGGTTTGAGGCAAAGAGAGGTTGAAGCAGATGTGAGAGCCTCGACCAAAAAACTACAGGTTCTTTAATAGCATGGATAAAAAGGTCTGTTTCCTCGGTAGGTTGGTGTTGGCCAGATTTTCCATTTAAAATGAAGTTTTGCATAAAAGAAATTACAGTCCGCTTAAGGAATATGATGCACACAGTTTAAGTGCCAGATTCAAAATTTTCCAGGGTGAAAAATAAAGCCAAGACTACACAAAAGTGCTCCAGAGAGACACTATTCCAAAATAGTAAGCTGATCTGAGAGACCTCTACTTCTCTGTGTATAAACTGTATAATTACTAAATTGTTTAATGTGAATCAAGTTATTTTCCTGAGTTGGAGGAACTAGAAACTGGTATGTTTATCCAAAAAAAAAAATATATGGATGATTGGCAAACATAGACAACAAATCATCATTGCCAGTTCTCAGAGACTGCGTGTAAAGCTTGATCCTCCCATTGAAGTCTATGGGAGCCTTTTCACTGACTTCAGTGGGAGTTGGATTAGGCCCTTACATCAGAATCATGTTGGCCAAAGTCCCCTTCTGATTCTTGTTGGAGACCTGTTTAGAATCTCATACCTTGAAACATCACTTCCTTCCCAAAAGCTTTATGGTGAAGATTTGGAAAGCTGGTGAGTTCTGCTCATGTAGCTGTATCATTTTCTTTTCACTTTTCACTTTCCTCCTTTTCACTCACTGAACTGTTACTGATTTTTTGTTGGGCACCTGGATTCTGGTTTCGCTTGTCACATCACTTTACATTAGATTCTTTCAGGAGTCACTTTCCACACCCTTTTGCTTGATGGAGGAGTTTGGAAATAAATAAATGATTAAAGCAATGCTGAAACCCAACAGAAGCAGCTGATATATAAAGTCACAGCTAGTCCTCATGTTTTTCTATCATTATTTTAGTATCATAAAATATTTACCAACAGGTGGCAGCAGAAGTAATTATGCAAAATAAAACCAAAGCAGAAGCATCATATTAGAAGCCTAATAACTAATTATAGTGTCACAGTTATTATCAAGAACTAAAAACAGCAAGTTCTGACAATATTAATATGCACAAAAATTAGTTTGGAAGCAGGCAGGGTTGCAATAATGTAACATACCTGAGACAAAAAGAAAAGGAGTACTTGTGGCACCTTAGAGAGTAACAAATTTATTTGAGCATAAGCTTTCGTGAGCTACCGCTCACTTCATCGGATGCAAATTTGTTAGTCTCTAAGGTGCCACAAGTACTCCTTTTCTTTTTGCAAATAC